GAGAAAACGATAACAATATTAATCTCAAAAAGGTGGACGTTCTGTCCCAAGAACATCATCATCGTCTCAGCCCAAGCCCAAGCCCAGTCGTCCACTACTGGACATAGGCCTCCGCCAAGGCCTTCCGCAACAACCGGTCCTGTGCGGCCTGCATCAAACGGCTTCCAGAGATGTTAGTTTTAAATTATAATTATATAATGATTATTATAATTATTATGATGATTATTGATGAGTTATGTAATATATATCTTGGAGGTTCTACATAACAATGTTTCAATCTTTTATAAGTAAACGTACCTCTACGGTCTGAATGACTTCGTGTAGTAAGTTACGTTTAGAAACCATGCGAGTGACCAAAGAGATATCTCGATGAGTAAACCTCTATCAGACACACATACTAAACCGTATCATTAAAAACTCAAAGTGATTCAGGGCTAAACAATATCAAACCCATTAATGTTACATATACGTTGAGTGTGTAGCAAATAAAAATTACTTAAATATATAAATCAAGTAAGCTTGACTAGCAAAACAAAAAATTTAAAAAATCATGTCTTTTGACCGCTAAAACTTAAATTATATTTAGTTAAATATTAAAATTAAATAAAAATAGTTAAATTGGTCAAAACCCATCCAATGACAATAAGCATTGATTTCATAAATGTGTTAAAATGAATTGGCAAAACCAGACACTCAATAAAGTAAACTTCGGGCTTAGAGAACTTGACCTTCCATGTTCAGAGGCGAGCTGTACCCCACCTCACTCCCCGTCCCTGCCTTGCCGCACCCAGCCCGCATTGCAGAGAAACAGAAGGACGGGACAAAATAGAATGAACCCTGCATCAGGTCATATAAATCTATTGATTCCACTAAAACGATTTGAGTACTCTCACAATAACTTGCAGTACCGTCGCTTTCTTTGTTATGTATGTAACAATGAACTACACAAATCATGTCTATATTGGAGCCGACAATCCAAATCTAAACGTCAATAGTGAAGACCCTGTGCTAATGAAGACAATTGGTTATTCGTGTAAAGGCACAGGGGGGCAACTTGTTAATGAAAGCGAAAAGATTCAATAGGGTTGGAGAAACCTTGACACTAGTAGGGGTCAAGGTGATCGTAATGCGTCTACGGCTTACAGCCTTGCGCACTTTATAGTCTTCGCCAACCCTAAACGACCGTTTCTTCTTAAATCCTAAAAATAAAACGGGTATAAAATACTTGTATAGACCAGATTTTCTTGTTATTGTGAAATTTATGAGTGTTGGTGGGGAATTTATAAATATAACCATAAATAGATTCATAATTTCCCTTTTTTTTTTTTTGCGTCTCGGGTACTAAAAGCCGGGAAACCAGGTATACCCTAGAAAGTAAGTCCCTGGTACCCCGACATACCTCGGGTCATCTACAGACGAGTAGACGACCCCCCCCCCCCCCCCGTGTGGGAAGAATATATCATAATTCCCCTATATAAAGATCATCACCTAAAATAATAAATAATTATATAAATTTACAAAAAGATTTAGTAAATACGCTGCAAGCTACCAGGATTGCAGGATGAGTCACCAACGTCCTTCAACCCGGCCAAAATGTACTCAACGACATCCGCATTCACAACTTAGGCACTAAAAGCGACTTTCTTAGATGTGGTTCATACTCGTCACCTTTAAATTCATTCATGGCTCTGACGTTATTAATGTCACGTAGGGCCATTACATGCAACTCTTTAGAGCGTTTCAAAAATACGTAAAGACGCGAGTGTTTGGCTATATTTATTACATTTATGGTTACATACGAGTATATTGGTTGGAATAACTTATGATAACATATATAGACAATTATGTGTTGGCCAGTATCATTTGTATAATCAACTACACATTGCAGTTTCGTTTGTAATACCAATAAGTACATCCTAAAAATTTACTTCGGACACAATATTTAATTTTAAGTTTAGATATTACAACAAATAACAAAGAAAACAAACAGCCGTTATTCAAGCTAATGGTGAGGCAAATCATTGCGATTGCGTCACAGCCGCAACATTACCACACTTTCACTGCGGAACAAATCGCGAAAATACTTTACCTATAAGCGATACCAGCGACGAGCACAGAAATAGTAAAATTCAGACACAACGTCTAAAACAAAACCTAAGTCATGGCTATAATAATAAAACATGACAGCGTGGTGACAGGACCATAACCAAAGGTGAAGAATTGTCTAAAACAATATTTGTGCATTACTATTTTTTAATAAAAAACAGCAGTTGCAAACATTGGTCCTATTTCCTGTAGTGTGTTGTTTTGTTCTGGCGGGTTTTGTTTAATAAAGTCGTACCCCGACATTGTCACCTTGCTCTTTCAAACTTGCGCTGTCACGAACATCAAGTTCATTTGTTAATTGAGCGCCCCCACCATTCATAACTTGATCAACTTGGCGTTTCTTTTCATAATTTCATTCGCGTGTTTGTTTACACACGTATTTAATTTTTTTTTTTTTGCAAATGGCGCGTTGTAATTGTGCAAAAAATGGAGGCGAAATTACGTTATAGACATATTGCAATAATTAATCCTAAGATTAGAGATAAGTTTTATATAGATATGTGTCAGATTTATGTACATACCACGGGCGCAAGCATTGCATCGTATTTTGCAAGGCACGCATAACAACAATATTCGAAAGTGTGTCAAGAATGCAATAGTACCAAGTAATCGACTCGAAGCGCCAAGCGGGAAACGCAACACATCAGTAACATTTACCAACAATAACTCTGCTACATAAGTATACATTAACATCTTCTTGTTAACTATAATTTGAGAACTGAAAATTGATTTAGATTTTAAACCTCGAATTCATTACGTCGAAATTTATTGTCTAGATACATACGAGAGAGTAACTAACGTCTTAGTACTTAGCAGCGAGTTATATAATATTTATGTACTTGTATAATGTACTACGCACCCGCGATTTAATTACCATGTTTCGAGCTATGCTCCTGCCGTGTCTTGATGTTACAAATTTTTCAATACAACTAAGGTGAAAATAAATAAATAAAAATGGAAGGTATTACAGCTCTTAGTTAAAAAGATTTATTGTTTTACTTGTTGCTAAAATTACCTTGATTAAAGGAATTTGAGTCTGATAAGCGCCAAATAGTTTTTTTTTTACTAATATTTTACCGTAACAATAAAGCTCAACATAACTCCGATATTATTTTGATAATCCAAATTAACGTATAAATTAAAGTGTGGAACAATAAAAATGCAAATATCGATCATAACAGGCCAGACATTATTGTATGCGCTGGCGGGATGCCTGACATTCTATCCAAGGTTTATAGGGGTTCACGCCACGAGATATTACGAATACCAATATCCATTCGTCTTTGTTTACGACTATAAAGGACCATAACGAAAACGAAATTATCTGGCAAGGTACATGCTTTTTTAACAATGTGAAACAGAGACTAAATTTAATAGCACATTGCTGGATGTGACGTACGTTCTGTTCGTGAGTTTACGAATTGCTATTTTCAAAATTATTACTAGAAAACCAACCAGTCATTCTTCCTAAATCTAATGAGAATTGACGCAACGCCCACCCTAACTCGTCATATTTTAAATGGCAATAAATAGGTCAAGTACCTATGTATTGCCATTCTCTTTATTTTTCAAGTGTCAATACTCAAAATAGGGAAGATAACACTTCATTGAGTCAAAATTACATCTCAATTTTGACCATAAGCTGACAATAGAATCTTAAGTAATGTAGTTGTATGTGAAGTGTAGATTGCAGTATGATTTGACCTTACAACTGAAAACTACAGCTTGACATTGATAAGCAATATGGCTTTAGTTGTTGTATTATACAAATTAATTATATTATTCCTAAAAAAATAATTACCAAAATCAAATACTAAAAGATAAATCACTTCTATAAAAACTCAATATCAGCCGAAGAAATTATCAAATTACATATTCCACAAACTATATTAATAAACTACTTTTACCAGTATTGTGACAAACAAGGGAATTTTCGTTGTTCTACAAGACTACAAATATAGACGGAACTTCTCGCGTGGGTAATAATTTTACATTATCCAACTGGTTTTGTGGTGGTATCACAATTTGACCCAAAACGCTTCGTGCCGGATATCACTGCACAGTACGAAGCGGTATAGCACGCAAACGCATTACGCGATTAGGTGAATGTTCTGTAGTAACTTTGTAACAAATTTCGTGACATTCAACCGCCAACATTGGCCAATCACTGCAATCTGACTACGTGAATCATTCTAGTTTCGATTTCAATAACGCATTTTAAAACAGAAATGCTTATTTATTACCAGACAAAATCTTATTTCGTTCAGTCACGACATTATCAATGTCCTATTACTGAGACCTGGATGTAATTACACCGGTGTACACTTACAATAGAGAACAGTTACTCCGCAGAACAGTCGGTAAACTATCCAGGTATTTTGTGTCACCGCGCCCGAGTACTTTCTGTTATTCCATCTGGGTAAGCGGCAACAATACTACGAAACTGTATACAACAGATAATGTCACGCAATTTAAACACCGAATGGTAAATAACCACGAAGCTCAGGCTTTGTTTATGTTTTTCCCAATGGATTATGAGACTCAGTAAAATTTGAGAAAAATCTCCCTTAGCCATCAAATACACTGCGTATAAGAGACCATTAAGCGCCATAAATATATTTTATAAAGGCCCGGGTAAGCAGACGAAGGCACAGTTTCTCAGACAAAGATTGATGCTGCGTGTCTCGAGACTGACAAGATAAAACTATATTTCACAAGGTTAATCTCAATTTGTGAATTAATATAAGTGCACACGGAGATTATTGGCCACTATAATGTTAAAACTGTCAAATACAGTAAACGGTCTAAATAATAAAGATGGACATTAAAAATAATTCATTGTCAGCATGACGTAAAACGCATGGTACAGAAATTAATATAATTATAAAACTCACCTTCAAGTATGATCCGTAATATTTAGTGACGTATGGGCTGTCACATTGCGACAGCACCATAATCTCCTGCTGGATGTCCTCAATTTCATCTTCAGCTTCTTCTAAATCAATTATCTTAATGGCGACTACTTGTTGGGTCCTGTTATCGACACCCTTGAACACTTCACCAAAAGAGCCTTTGCCGATCTTCTCCTGTTTTGTGAAGATCAGCTCGGGGTCGACCTTCTGTGAAAGAATAATTATAGAATTTTATATCAAATAATAGAATACCAATGGATATGACGGCCAAATAATTATCAATACGTTAAATTTACTAATAAATTTAACGTTTCCAATGACACAGTCACAATTCTCATACACAAATAAATATAATAGAAATTAACATCTATATAGCGACCGACGTGCAGGGATAGGTGATATTATTTTAGTTCTGATATCCAGATGGTGAAAAATTTTTTGACTGTTCATTACTTTTCTGTTATATAATAGTTCTTGTAGTAAGGAAACGGCAAAGCCAAATATTTTGACTCGAGTTTGGGAATTTAGGGCGTGTCGCGTTAGAAGTTTGGCTCTACCAGATATCTGACAACTTTTGATAGTACGAGCCACGAGCGGTCTCGTCTTGGCAACATTTTACATGAAAATGTTTTAGTGGGATACCTATTCCACAAGAGACACCCTTATTCCAAACCATAGAAGGCTGCCGTTACGGTACGATGTGCGAGTTTATGTCACTTATAGCTTTATTTTTATAGCACTTACACAGATTTGAAGTAACCTGAATTAACTCCTTTGTATGACTTTGAATACGTAAACAAGGCGGGTTAGTAACATGTAATGGCACATGGCGCAAACGATTCTTTAAAGATACTATTTGTATAGTAACAACTAAAGCCAAGAGTTTACGTATTCAATACTATAATTAGTAATAGCAATTGTAAATACATTAACAATTGTGATTTCTACTTAATTAGAAAGTATAGTTCTATTGATCAAGCTGGAATATGTTCTCTCGGACCTTGGAAGCTGGTCATCCTACATTTATTAAATGCATGAAAGTATGATATGAGCAGTGACGTGACAGTGTCGAGATTTTGTTAACAACAAGTAGGACGAAACAGACCGTGGGCTACATTTAAGATTTCTTATTTATAAAAAAATAAGTTTAAAGTGATTGATTATTTATTCATTGGGCGTTAAATATTCAAAAGCACGAGTTCAGAATTTAATTGTATTTTTGCATTTTTTATGAGTTTTGTTTTCTTATTTAGCATAATGTTTATAAAATCTTAAGTTTTTTATTTGTGATAAAGTAAAAGAATGATTTTTCATTCTTTTACTTTAATACTATATTACTTGAATAGCATTTTTGAAACATCTATCTACATTTAACCTTATTAAGTATTTTACAACTTTTGATAAAACCTGCGACCAAATCGTAATAAGAATGGAATGCGATGAGGTATGATTAATTAAACATTTGAAGACATAGAGATAAGTGCTTTGTAAATTATCACATTAAATAGCTTACGTCACGAGTAAAATTATTAGATTTTATACGTTAATTTTAATGTAAAACTAATGTGTTTAAATCGATAAGCTGTGGATATCAGGATCGATCAAATTCAAATGGTTACTTAAAACGCAACGCGTTAGAGTACAAGTAAACTTTGAGTCAAATGTATAAACAACCTTATAATAGTATTACGCAATACATTTTACTAATGACCTTTTTAAACCATTACTTCACAATATGCTCAAAATAGTAAAATGATCTAACGCTTAAGAACTGACGACGACAGTTTTAAACATGCTCTAATCGGAATAAAAAGTTAAAAAATAATATTTGATTGTAATAAAACGTGGCGTGCATGATATCAAAATTGTTCCAAAAAAAATTACAAACGCTAATTTAGTAAAAACATTACAGCTTATAAATATAATTCTTTAGTTTGTAACGGGATATCATCAACATAAAAGCACTAATTTTATTTCCAAGGATAAATAAAATTATCAAATTTTTAAAGAAGATATAATCTCTTTCGACTGCAACTATGGTGTAAAGTTGGTAAAGAAAGAGATAACTTAATCTTAAGATTATATCTTGACGAAAACATCTTAGTTTCCAGGTTAAGATAAGTACAGCACGTGGCACGAGACAGACTCGAAAGAGTACGTGACTGGACTAATAATGAGGTTGGCCAGAGAGAATATTGAGACGTAAATCTTCTCGCTTTTTAATCTAACGCTAGAGCGGTAAATAAAACTACTATGTACAAGCTTTTAAGCGTATTCGACTCAGAATTTGTAAATATCTAATTTATTGCAACAACTTATTTTTGTAGAAATACTGCAAAAAACAGATAAATGGAATGAACTGTAACACTACTTTTTCAAAGGACAGCTCCCGCACTTGTGGAGGGCCTCTTTACGGTATTTTTTTTTAACTATAAAATTCAATTAACGGACTGTACAATCAACTGCCAATGGGATATATAAATCCTTATGTAATAATTTTATTCCCTTAACATTTAATGCCACTGCTCAGTTCCTATATGGCATCAGTGATGTTATATAGCGTTTAACCTTTCTCAGTGAATACTCTATGCAATACATAATTCTTTCATCAAATCCGACCGGTAATTCCGTTCAATCATACAAACTTTATTATATTAGTATAGATGACTTATACTGATCATATTGATAAGAAATATACAGGAGTTATTTAGTATCATAATGGACGTACGATTTAAAATTCCTTAGTGTGAAACTTAAAACCCTGAGTTTTCTTTTTATTATTTAAAACATCAAGGTAAAAATGTAACATCTTTTACCTCCTGGTAAAATGCGACTATTAAAGATGCTTTAAAAGTGGATGATACACTGAAACCCTCATTATTTTTGTACAAACAAAAATACTTTTTCTGTACTGTAGAGCTATTTTACAGGCGAGGTCACAAAAATATAGTCCTATTTTTCAGACGGAAAGTATATAAAAGTATAATATTTAACACTAGTAAGAGAAGTTATGCCGGGTGTTAATTGAGGAAACACATCGCTTACCGTTCCGCTTTTAATTAAAAACAAATGTTGAGAGGCGACGATTTAATAGGATGGAAGTTAACCATTGTAATAATGAAATACGTTTAAATTCTGTTGTACACAAAATGTGCTTATATTAAAATACTTTGCTTATCACGTTCGTATACAGTTTACCTACAACAAAACATTTTGCTGTATGTACAACCTTTTGATGTTCAAAACAAATACAGTTTGTTTACGAAGCACGTTGTCTTTGCCAAATATAGATAAAAACCATATCTAAAACGTGTTGTATTGAGAATCAAAATTTGAGCTCTATTGGTACAGAACTTTTTGAATGTTTGAGGCGTACACTAACTAACTTAAGGTTTTTATATGCATAGCATTATTTATATATATATATATATATATATATATATATATATATATATATATATATATACATATATAGATTCATCATCAAGTCTCCAACAGTCCACTGCTGGACAATGGACATAGGGATGGCCTACTTTACCACGCTGGCCAAATTAAATCTCCCAAAAACCTATAAGTACATTAATGCATACTTTTAAATGGAAACTTCATCATCATCTGTTGATGATAATAGCCTATAATACGCCACTGCGAGACATAGGCCCCTCCTTAGAATGGAGTTCTTGGCCTACTATACCACGCTGGCCAGACAGATTGGTGTAGGCTTTGTGTCAAGTTTTTCCTTTCTTTGCAGTGCTGTAAGTTATCCTGCGTAGTAGACACCCGAGGAATGGATATGTGAATGGATGAATGAATATATTTATGTATTTATAAATGTGTATCACCCGAAGATCGACTAGCAGAGAATGCCCTGGGCATTAAGACCGCCTGTGTACAACTTGTGCATTAAGTTATATAAATAAATAAATAAATATGGGGACGCTCCGTATTCTTAATCCTTCAGTACACCGACGAAAACTTAACATGACAAAAAGTTGGCAGAGATAATTCAAAAATTATATTATTATTAGAAAAAATATGTACCAGCTGCATTATAAAGTATTTTTGACGACCGGATGGCGTAGTGGTTTGTGTAACGGACTGCTATTCCAAAGGTCGCGGGTTCGATTCCCGCTCAAGTCAAACATTTGTGTGCATGAACATTTGATGTTTGGTCTGGGTGTTTCTATGTATAATATGTATGTATTTACAAAAAAAAAAGTATATATGTATTTATATCAGTTGTCTAGTACCCATAGTACAAGCTCTGCTTAGTTTGGGACAAGATGGCGTTGTGTGTATGTGGTAGAATATTATTATTATTATTATTATAATTACAAGCACGAAACTTTTAGAGACATTATCTTACTATTACTTATACAATAGAATTAGATTTCAAGAGACGTTTAGTAAATAAAACAAGACATATCGTAGAAAACGGGTTGGTTTACCTAGGAACTTAAATTCAGTTTCTATTATTTTATTTATACGTACGCTTATTTTATGTTTATTTAAAGATCATATAACAAAAAGAGAAAGTGGAACATTTTAATTATGTATAGGTTACTATAAGAACATGTCTATGTAAATGTGATGATGAGTTACAAAATTCATTAGCTATACATTATGTTTTATTAATAAGCGAGGTAATGAATGTGAAAATTGGACACCCTTGTACATACAGACTTTTCATGATACCCCAGTCTGTCCTATACAAGGATAGTTCAGTATAATACAGATCAGCAAAAGAAATGAAAGATTTTTTGAGAAATTTATGTGCTTCAATTTTCTGTCCGATGATTGGTTGTTGAAGTATTGATGGCTAAAGCCAAAAGGATCCTTTTGCATTTAAAGTCTGATACACAATTCCGGAACATACTCGTACTATCGTAGAGCAAAATTAAAAATAGGAAAAATTAAGCTGAATAAACAGGCTATCAAGTATATACCATATCTTTTTTGTAAAAAAATCCCAAGCCCGTGGACTAAAAAAAAAACATAAAAATTCACAAAAATTTTTGCCTATTCCTCTGAATTACTCGATAACTGTAGCCCCTATTTTCAGCTTCAAGATGCATTTTTACGAGCCTGATACAACCCTTTTCCACAGAAATATGGGCCTTCAAAAATCACTGAAATAATCACAATTTTTTTAGCTCCCTTATTTTTTTTTGGAGAAGTGTATTATTTTCATACATTTCACACACGGCCGTCTGATACCAAACTAGGCAGAGCCTGTACTATGGTAACCAGACTGCTGATTAACATACTTATATATCTCTAAATACATTCATATTATAGATAAAGTACACAGAGAACAAATAACCGCGCTCATCACACAATTATTTGCCCTCGGTGGGAAACGAACCCACGACCTCTGGCGTAGCAGTCGGTCACTAAGGTACTAGACCAACAGCTAGTCAGAATGCAATTCAAAATAACAACTTTTTTGCTACAAAAAGTTGATTTTGCAGTAAAAAGTACTGATAAGTTAACGACACCCAACAGAGTCAGTTACAAAACTTTTACAGTAGGATACTTCTAACATATTAATTATGACCACTTTACGCTTTACTACCGCATACATTCACAAGTTGTTACGACAGCAATTGACCTGTCGTAATACTAAACACTGAACCTATTTTCAGGTAAATTGTATAAATATCAAAGTTTGCTTTAAAGAAATAACTTAAAACAAACACTTTTTCTCTTTTTTACCAACAGTACTTATTAGTAACTTCTATATGGGCATTTATCTATTTTTCGAGTATTTATTAAAGACGAGGAGATAAAAAAAACAGGCGGAGTAGATTTGTATGAAACTTGTAGTTATTAGTTACGACAAGCATAAGTGCTAGCAGAACATTCAATTTATTAGTTTTTTGTAGCGCCTTCAATGCTGGCGAGTGGCGAGGCATGGGCAGCCGCGGTCTCCTACTGCGAGGACGTTATGCTCCAGAAGGAGGCCGCAGAGCGGTATCAGGAGAGGGCCGATCCCGCTCGAAAGGCACGCGGCAAAGGTCGCTAGCTCCCAATCGCCTTTTTTTTCACAAGACAATTCTGTGTCTCGGGGGCTTTACAAACATACATGAAACGGATACAAAGAACACCCAACAACAATTTGTGGATTACGCAAAGTGTTGTCCCATGTAGGGATCGAACCCACAACACCCAGCTCAGTGAGTAGTGAGCAGCACCGAGGTGACCGCTTTAACCACTACGCCATCCCTGCAGTCTAATATTAAACATCCATAGAATAAGCAAATGATTAAAGTACACAATCGAAGGAAATTACATCTATCATAAAACGCAATCACGGCAAAACACAGATAGCAAGCATTCTTCGGTCCTAATCTTTTATTTGGATCCGGGACATGTCATCAACAGTATTATTTTTTTGTAACGTAAGAATAACAACGCGTAAGAACGTATCACTCTAATTGCAGTAGGAATAATATGAAAGCAATACCAGGATATTAATCGATCGTCTAATAGCAGAGGTCTGAGTCAGTTACAATTAATGGCTGTGATTAATATTGTGAACGTATGATTAATAACATCAAGGAAATCAGGATAGTCTGGAATTTAATTATTTTTCTACTTCAATTTATATTTTTTTTTGAATTATTGGTTTACTAAATTTACAATTATTGACAGAAAATATTGTAGATTTTCAGATAATTGTTTATATATCATAAAAAAAGATTATGACTATTGACTGAAACTGACGTGTTTGTGACGTGTTAATATATTTTTCGCAAAGAAAAATATATTAACACGTATGAAACATCAATAATATAAGTTGTTCTTAATTTTATACTTTTTTTAATTACTTGTTGTAAGGGGTAGCCTTTCTAGATGATATATCTAGAGATGTTACCCTTGGATATTAAAGTATGTTAAAACAACTCAAAATTCTCTGAAAGCTCCATTACACCATTTATTTAAAATCGAATTTAAATTTTACATATTTAGGGGATTTGTTTTTACAAAAACATCCAAATTAATCCAATTGGGGATTAAAATAGATAAAAATTCTAAATAGATCCCTTATGGGATTGCTGCGGACAAATAATCTAAATAAATCCCCTAGGGGATTTAAGCAGGGTATCCTAGTGGATTATGTGTTTACAAAAACTTCCAAATAAATCCCCTTAGGATCAAAAATGTTGGTAATTATAACCCCTAGGGGTATCGGTGTGGATAAAAAACCAAATAAATCCCTCATCCCCATCTTAGGGGACGAAGCCAAAATGACGGAAAGTAAAGTTAAAACATTTCCAGTATTGTCGGATTACAAGCATAAAAAAGTAATAAAAGGTGCTTTGATTTCTCTGAGACTAGAATGAAGGCGTTATTTCATTCTCATCATTGTAAACACAGTTAAAACATAATAAAGGCTTGAGATAACACTTCTCAAAGAAACATGAAAAAGTTTTGGTCAAAAGGAGTAAGAAGATAACTTCGAATTATTATGGTACTAACACGCAAAGGTATAGATGATCAGATGCATACGACTTGTGCCAAAAAATATTGTGTATGCATGACGCAAGACGAATTGACAACGCAAGGTGAACGTGAAAGCGCACATGTGTAAACATAGCTTAAGAAAGAGTTGCGATATACGATTAGGTCTTTAACAAATACTGCGCCACTGATAGGTATGGTGATTTTTACCAATTTTTACCAATGCATATAATTATGTTCATACACGGGAATTAATGGATCGCGTTACTCAATTATATTATCAATGTAACGGTTGCGGATTGAAATTACTAAAACTTTTAAACTTAGAACTGTCATATTAAGTTGCATTTATTAATTTTTATGCAAAAAAAATAATAAAGCCGTTGATCGATCTACATGGCGTGCAATTAGAGAGGCTTATGTCCAGCAGTGGACAAATGATGAAAAAAAACTGAAATTCTCAAAAAATCTCTAAATCAACTCTGCACGAGATACGAATTTTTAAAAATATAAATTATTAAAAAGGGACCCTCTCTACTTCACAATAAAGTATTCACGATTTGGCACTACATTAATCATATTTAAGGTACCTTCAGCGCCTGCAATTTCTTGTAGCGAAGCACTATGCTCGTAATCATATTTTTGTTTACATTGAAACGAAGGTCAATATTTCGCGATTGTACACACTCCTGCTAATAATACATAGGTATTAATAAAATACGGGCACGCCGTCATTGCGGCGGTAAGACCCGTTATGGAGGATTGGCTCGAGAGGCGTCACGGGACCCTCTCATACCGATTGACGCAGGTGATCACTGGGAAGGGATGTTTCGGAGATCACCTGTGTCTGATCCGCAAGGAGCCAACGCCTGAGTGCCACCACTGCGATGGCCAGACCGTGGACACGGCTCTCAACACGCTGGCAGAGTGTCCGGCGTGGGTTGAGCAGAGGCGAGACCTCGTGGCGACCATCAGAGTGGGAGTTCTCTCGCTCGATAGCCTGATTGCGGCTATCGTGCAGAGCCCGAGTGCGTGGAACTATGCCGTCTCCTTCTGCGAGCAGGTTATGCTCGGGGGGGGGGTCTACTCGTCTGTAGATGACCCGAGGTATGTCGGGCACCAGGGACTTCCTTTCTAGGGTATACCTGGTTCCCCGGCTATTAGTACCCGTCGAAGGCGTGCGGTTTTAGTCGGTTCGAGTCCGACATGCCACCGACCGGTGGTATCCGAGGGGATTTCCGCACGGAAAAAAAAAAAAAAAAGGTATTAATAAAATAAACATAAAATAATTTGAGTAAAAGTATCTTGAGAGGATATGGTTAAGTATTGAATTTTTTAAATTTTCAGTACAACCTAAACTATTAAATCTTGACACACCTACTTCATGTCTGCTGAACACGGTCGCCTTTAAGGTCCTCGCGCCGTAAATAGTATAACCGCACATGCAGGCTCCATTTACTATTCATTAGATACTACCCGATATAGAAAATCGTCTTACATCGGTGCACTCTATAAGGGTCTAACGACAGTCTCTCGGTGACCACATTTTTTTCGTAGGCCTTCGTAAGTGTTACGTAAAAAGTAAACATAAGAAGAGAAGGCGTGGTCAATGAAGTGACTACCACTACATGGCAATTTCATGTATGCTACAATCTCATAAACAATCAGCTATTGTTTCTTCAGATGATATTAAAGGAAATATTATAATTCTTCCGTAACAAATAATTTAAACGCCAATTCGTGTCGAATGACACACATTGCAACATACGACACGCATTGCGAGAGACAAGGAAATAACTTACAACAGTTGTATGAAACAACAAAATGCCTCACGCACATCACAACATCTTAAACTACAACTTACTTTTAATATAAAACTCACATTGGTTCCAGCGTTACGACTTTGCGACGGTCGAACGGGAGCAGGGCGTGCGGGTTGTGGAGGCACCTTCAGCTGTCGTCTATCGAAGGACGAGATATGATTGCCTGACCAACCCCAACGACCCGGCCCATTACTACCGTGAGGAAGAGAATACGATGATTGTGGTTTTAAATATCTCGTATTTGGACCAGCCAATATGGGCCCACTTGGTCCAACTTGTGGCATTGGACCGGTAGGTCCTTGAACATAGTGGTAATGAGGTGGATTTGACACCGCGGCCCCCCACATGTTATAACACACTTCTCGAGTCACTCACAAACACAACACAATATAGGAATCACCGCATCACATCAACATCAATAAAGCACTGACATCGAACGACATTTCGGGTATTTCACCTGACATCTTATCTAAAGAAACAACGATAATTACTAGGAGCCAATCGTTTCACTTAATAAATATAACATTGATAACGCGCACTCTGCCAATCGCCTACCAGCCAGTAGCGAGTGATTCAGGCCACTGTTCGCAATCGAAAGACAGCTTGAAAACATGAATGCCTCGAAAGCAACCGTCACCGGACGCAACCGAGACGCGTGGAGAATTAATTTAAGTTTGATGGACAATTGTTTCTTCAACAAAGGTAACGATCTAAAAACTGCTTTGATTGCCTTTTGCAATAAAGTATAAACATAGAAGTCACCAAGGTAAAAACAGATAGCGGAAATAATCAAGATCACCGCCACAAATCACATTTGCCATGTAAGCTGTCACGCTGATCGACAAATACGGCAAATTTTCTGAAGATGAAGCGATTTATTACAGTAATTTGTACAGTAAACAGTAGTAGACGAAAACCTGAACAGTCGAATGATAAAGTTCACATCACTGAATAACAACATTCAATGGCAACTTTGATTCCAACGGCACTGTGGTCCTGGTGAAAAATAATTTATACACCAGTGGTTGCTAGAGAAATCTGTTTCCCGACACAACTAATCCATCATGATGGATGGCGTGTGAGTTTTAACGCATTTGAATGTAGACTGATTGCGTGCTGTTAGCGGTTGTCGAGCGTTTCCCGCCGACCGTCCTGGCGATTGCATTATGATTTTTTCGCAAGGGACCGCGGGGGTGAGGCAACTGCGCGGACGGCAAGCATCGCCAGCGAAGCGTGCAGCAGCGGCTGCTACAGCGGCTCAACGCAGCGAAACTCGCGGCCACACTTCATGTACTCACCTCAGTGCATAAGTACTCATACCTATTCATGATATTTCCATATCATTTACTAGTGGCTAGCGATTTATAATTATGCAGATGTAAGCGAAATTTGTTATTATTGACCCAAATATGTAAAGAGTAAAGTGCAAACTGTTTTACCCCATTTACATTATTATAATACGATTTTTTTATTTACAATTGACATTTGTAAAACAATACATAAGAGCGCTCCAATTTGAGTGTGCGAAAGTCAGTAAGATAAAAGTGTTACAAAAGTTTCGTTGGACACTAACTTGTGTATGAATTTGGTCGTACAATAGCGACATTAGTATTCTGTGTAAGGACGGGTGGAGCATGGCAACGCGTGGACTGAGTCGCGAGGAGTCACCGCCCGCACCGCCGTGCATTGAATACGGACCGCTCTGAACTAGAAAGAATTCCATGCGTTTGCAGCAGTGCTACGCATTGCCATGAACGTTCGACATTAGACAATGCGGCCCACATACATTATTTGGTTTACGGTCCGTTAGAACCTTTTGTAGGTCTTGCCATAACTTCCATCACATTTTTTGGCAACGCTATATACAGGTTGTATATAAAATGTCATGCAGACTTGACAGTCCTTAAACAAGTACTTAATAAATATTGCTTGACTTCGTATTAGGCTAATGACGTAAACACCTATTTAGATTGGATTTAATTTGACAGTTTAAACATGTTAGAATATTATGAATGACATATCCCGAGCGGAATGCACAATTTAATTTATACACTCAATATAATTAATTATAGTGTTCTACTCATACGTTCTACTTATGCAAATGTGTCAAAGACACAATATACAACCCATGCGTTAAATGTGTACCGTTTATGTAAATGCGATAACAGTTTATTTGGCAAACACCTTGTAAAAAAGATAAAGCTCTATGCAAAACAGAACTTAAAAATAGAGTATACTACGTTTATCCATACTTTAATATTATAAATGCGAAAGTGTGTCTATCTGTCTGTTACCTCTTCATGGTTAGACCGCTGAACCGATTTAGATGAAATTTGTACAGAGATAGTTTGAGTCCGGGGAAAGGACATAGGATAGTTCTTCTCTCAGAATTCATACTTTAAGGGGGTGAAAAGGTGGGTGGAAGTTTGTATGGGGAATCAATAACAGCTGAAACCATCTAAATCATAGATGAAATTTATTATGAAAATAGTTTGATTCTTCAAGAATTTACTATATATTTTATAAGCTACTTTTTACTGCTATAACCGACATACACGCGGGTAAGACAATTTTACTCGGGGTTTTATCAGTTTTAAATGAGAGACGTGAAATGCCTTATTAATATTTTCGGACATCTGACACACAACGCCATCTAATTTCAAACTAAGCAGAGCAAGCATATGTATGTAAAATTTTTTTTACACCAGTCATTTAATATAATCATGTGTTCCTGTTTGTACTCCAATAGGCATGATGTTATTATTTAATAATAATAATATTTAATAACACCAAATTAAGTACAAATTTTCTAATACAACATAATTTTCTTAGGTTAGTTAGGTACACAGTATTTACAAAAAAAATGTATAAAAGGGTGGGTGTTTTCTATGTATCATACATAGGAAACTCCCAAACAACTACTTACAATCCAAACTCCTAAACAAATATTTACAGATCAACAGAACATTTGGTCCGACCCGGGAATCGAACCTGAGACCTCAGCGCAGCAGTTGCATACGCTACCACTGCACCACCGAGGCAGTTAGTAACTAAGTATTAATAATACGGATATCTTTAAGCGGAACTAACTCAATTCTTTATATCAGTTAAGTCTTGTGGAGTTAAGGCGAATGATAAGACATATTATCGCGAAACTTCACATTCCTAACTCACATTTGGATGTAAGAATAAAATGAGAAAGGTTCTAAGTGCCAAACACATTCAAATCCTCTTTGAGATCGGAGATGCTTTTTGCAGATTGTTCTTGGGACTCGGATCGTAGTGTGGACTAATACCTGAGAGTTTTCTCTTTTTTTTAATATTTATAGAAATCGGGGATCAATTATCATCACCAAATTGTTTGTAATTTTCTTAGAAAAGGTAGAACATAGATGTAGAAATAGTATTCTAATCTGAAATGTCGATACACATTGTACTTTTTTACTTAAAACTCCTTCATATGGCATCTCTTAAATATCTTAAGTGTGTTTACCGTTTATTTGCTTATAACAAACCTCTCTTCTTCTTTTATCTACATTCAGTCAAAAAAGTATCGGAAATGGATGATTTTGTTTATGGTTCCAAATTCTTTTTATTTTTTTGTTGTTTTTAGATTGGCACAACAGTTTTCCATTTTAGCGGGGAGTTTTAGTTGCGTCTGTTAATTGTATTAAATACAGTGCTGTTTTTAGTTATATCATACTCGTACCTAGTGTGTATCGTGAATTTCATAATGGACAAAAACATCGAACAAAGAGTTTGTCTTAAATTTTGCATCGCCAATGGAATTTCGTGTTCGGAGTCACTGAAAATGTTACAGAAAGCTTACGGTGAATCGACTTTATCAAAAACACGTGTTTATGAGTGGTACAAAGCGAGATGCGATGGAAGATTTGCCTCGATCTGGTAGACCATCAACGTCTGCAACTGAAGTTAACATCGCAAATGTGAAGGAAATAGTGACTGAAAATCCTCATTCAACTTTGAGAGAGATAGCCGCCGAACTTTCTATATCTCACAGGTCGATCCGTACCATTTTAACTAATCATTTGGGTATGAAACATGTTACCGCTCGGCTAGTCCCAAAACACCTGAATTTTCTCCAAAATCTCAATCGCATGACAGTCGCTGAGGACATGCTAGAACGAGTCAATTCCGACCCAACATTCATGAAACGCATTGTTACTGGTGACGAGACGTGGGTTTACAAAAGGTATATATCCACTATTTAAATGCAATGTATGAAAAATTAGAGGGGTTTTTTTCTAATCTATTCTTATATATGATTGTAATTGTAAATGGACAAAACACATCAATTTTGCAATTGATGTGTTTTGTCCATTTTTTGATTGATTGTTTGAAAAAAAATACGAATCAATGACAAATAAATAAACTGTTTAAGTACAAATTCACGAAATTCTCGTCGATCAGAGTAATGGACTTCATAACTGAGATGATGTAGATAATTTTAGATGTAAATTATTTCATTATAGAAAATGCAATAATGTAGTGTTTAAGGTCCAGTTATAACTTTAATCATTAACTTGCGCTGTATGCGCGCTAGAACACGTTATAATCGTAGATAAGGACGTACAAAAAATCTCATTTGCATAACATCGGAAACGTATTAAGTGAACCGATGACACTGTTAGAGCGCAATATCCGACCGGTACTGCCACTATACCGGTATTACTGCACAACTGTAAGATCGAGTTTAAAAAATTTCGTTACTTAATAGCGACTTATAAGTTAAACCCGATTGATGAATTAAATCTAAAGAAGAATGGTTTAGCACATTATTATGTTGTAATTAAAATACAACCCCCAAAAGCGAGTACTTACATAATTTCAAAAGAAAAAGAAAATTTAATTTATTTTGGGTATACAAATTGTGACCTAATATGAAAATTAACTATAAATTATATTTAACATTTATTTGAAGACTGACTGAAACACTCAGTTGACCTAAAGCCGATCAAATTCATGTCTCAGGATATTGGTTTTAATTTAAAATTTTCATTTATTTCATTTACTTCACAGCTGTGTACTATTTGTTTGTAAGGGAATATTTATTTTCGAGTAGTCGGTAGTGCGCAAACGTCACGTTTTCATAGTTCAACATGATGTCTTTACAATGAAAAACGACTCCCTGTTCTGCGTAACAGTGTGAGTGTGAGGTGCATTTGAGTGCATACGGATACATCATATGTTGAAGTTATAATATAACAACATAATGGTTATTGTGTTGTCAGTGTAGGTTGCTTGTAAGCCCAATTCCAGAGCTACGTGTAACTTTAGAAAAGTTTGCGGTTTTATAATTATATAACGAGTATGTATTTGAATATAG